AACTCCCTCGTTGCAAGAGGTTGTCCCACCTATCACAGGTCCCTGCTTAACGGCAGGCTGCTTGACTTACTGATGGTCTCTGTTACCCTTGGTAACCCCTTGCTGTCTTCATACCCCAATGTGCCTAGTGACCCACCACTGGAGACTATTTGTGATGGTTACTTGGATAAACTCCTTTAGTAACCTCAGGTCAGGCAAAAGGCAATGTTTGAAAGCTTTACCGAAAAGGTTTTGAACATTACAAAGTTCAAAGTACAACACAGTTCTTTCCCTAAGTTTTTAGTCCCTATCTTAGACTTGTCTGCTGCCCTAGTACCTGGATACGTAGACTCCATTTGTGGCATAGTCAATGGTTGGCAGATTCCAGCAGTTGGTATCTTCAGGACGGAATACAAATCCCAGCACCCCCCCCTACATAGTGGAAGGCTTCAGATGGTAAGCACCTCAGACTGTGGCATTGATGGTGGCTTTATATATATATATACACACACATATACATACACATTGTATATACACATACACCTGCGCTTGAGGAAATTGTTATAGATGATAAAATTTAAGAGTGTAAACATATAACAGCTGAACACTAAAACCCTGATACCAGGCAGTGAACAATAATATATACTGTATATAAAGTGCAGTGCTTAATAAAGTGACAAATAATTAAGTGAAAAAAACTGTGAAAAATATATCATACAGAAAATTGTCCATCAAAAATTATTCAGATAAAAAAAAAGTCCCCAAAGTCCGTGATGAAATAAAGGAAATCCAAGGACAGCTGTTGTGTCATGAATCATTCATATGAAAGACTTACCAGAAAAGCATGACCCTTGTTAAGAGTTGTCAGTCATGCGTTGTTGGAAACAACCAAGAAAGCTGAACAGCTGGATCCTCCTCCAGATCACCAAAAACAGAAAAATAAAGATCCTCCAAGCAATGGGCCCTAATTTGGATATCTACACCACTCCAGATGGGATTCACACTCGTGGTAAGAAACATGCAAAAAAAAGAGTGCTCCACATAGTGTAAAACCATTAAGACAACATTTATTTGAAGTATGGTTGCACTCACATTAAAACGGACATCACTGAGCATAAATAGGAAAAATTTCAAACTTTTCCAATCTCCAAAATGGCCGCTGGCTGGCCATGCATGCGCGGTAGCAGAGCCACGCACACACGCTACCACGTGTGTGCGAACGGCTGGAAGCCATTTTCCTGCAGTTTTATGGGGAGCCTTTCTGTTCAGTAAAGCACATTACTACACTACAGAGTTGTACTTGCCTACCGCAAGAACCTACTGGACACAAAGCAAAACATCTCGGGGAGAGCGCCTGTTAATTTCCCTGGAATGCGCCCTTAATGAGCATGTGACCCCCACCTACACTGCCTGGTGTAGCCCAAGAACCCCGTGGGCTTAAGTCATGTATGCAGCAAGCAAGGACCACTTGCTGCCCAGCCTATATATACACAATGATACTTGCACAGTTCAGGCACACTGGTCTGTCCTGGTGGGGACTATATACAGTATGTTCCTTCAAATCTCCAACTCTCATTTGTCAGTCTGGGCCTATGTAGCCTACATATATAGGCCACTGAGCCAGACACCCACACCCCATGTGTCAGGCTTGTATATCCTCCAACAGGAGATCAAAGACTGACTTGAGAATACTCCACCTGTCTCCAGTCAGTTTTATGCCTCCTCAGGGACCTTTTCCTGCTGATTATCCATCCATTCCAATCCACATAATGTTAAAATGTACACACATATCCAGGGGCTGTGGTTCTCAGCAATTAAATAAAAGTTCCCTGTGTTTCATCACTTAAGCAGCAGGGGCTGGGGACAAAGAGGGGACTATTTAGTTATTTTCGGGAGCAGGTGGAGGAATCCTTCTGGCTGTGACCTCTTCTTCTATATCAATCCACCAGAACTTTAATTCAATTGTTGGGAGCCACAGCACATTGTATTTAATTGCCATGAGCCACTACTGGCAGGAATGTGCATGCCCAATAAGGTATTTAAAGGCCCTTCTCTGTATGGGGTGGATTAGCCAGCAGGGCTGACAGAGCAGCAGATTTCCAATGTTGGTCCTGCACATATATACAGGTTTTATTTTCTGAATAAATATTTTGAGGATTCTCATATTACTATGAGCTAGCTAAATACACAGCACAGCAGCAGTTATCACCTGCTAGCATGGCCTTATTTGACCAGGCTGTCTAGTAAAGGATAGGATGCTTCTGTAATACTATAAAATTTCACTTGCGCCACAGGAGAAAAGACTCTCTAATCTAAAACACATGGAGCTGCTGCTATACTAATGCCCACAAAAGGCTAACCAGATTCACAATAGTAGATAATACCAAAACTCCTCCAGTGTGGATAATCAACAGGGGGCTCCCATCACATAAAACTGTTTGTTTCCTCCTGTTTTAAAGAGGTTTTAAATAAACTGAAGATGCTGTGATTGGACGAAACGCGTTGAGGCAGAGTCTCTGTGACATCACTTCTAGATCCAAGCTGGAACACACGCCGGCTCTGTAGTGAGCAAGAGGAGGCACTCCCTCTAGATGCCTAATGTTACAACATTTGGGTATCGAGTGACAGGCACTGTTTATTGTGAGTGTTTTTTTACTTTGTTTAATGCGGTTTTAAATAAACAAACAGTTTTACATGAAAGGAGTCCCCCTATTGGTCTGGTTTTTTTGGGCACTGATGCTATGGAGGTTTATAATCAAATATCTAGGAAGTGCAAAATGTAAATAAGAGAGGAGTGGAGAGCTGGAGAACTTGGAGGAAGAGAGAAAGCTGTGGGGGACCTGATGTCAGCTGGCACATCCTGTTTTGGACTTTTTTAACTAAAAGGTCCATATCTGAGTGAGTTAATATTATAGTGAGGTGGTGGTCACTGGATCACCAATTTGGTCAAGGTTTGCACCCTTATCTGCACTGCAAGCAATAGATGTCCTTTGAAAGGCTGTACTATTGTGCTGATTCTCTTCCATTTTCCCTGATTATCTATTATGGGTGTCTGTTCATGAGATATCATTTTTGTATATGAAACTTTGATTATATATTGTTGCACTTAATTTTTGCATGATTTGCAAATTTGCGGCAATGTGCATGAATATATGCATTTTTTGTCCATTATTTGATAATTTTGCAATTTTGCACATTTGTATCTGCATCTATACATGTGGTTTTGCACACTATTTGCATAATTTGTGATCTTGCACAATTTTTGCACAGTTATATTTTAATTAATTAGTGGCTATTTTACATTATTTAAGGGAACACCATTTAGTTGGAAAGAAAAATAGAGACATCAGTGTTAGGTTGTAGTAATATACACTTTATTGAATTTGAATTGCTTTTCTAATGAGCCTTTCAACCCAACTGACTCATTTAGTTTCAGCTATTGATCTCTGTAAACAAACAGGTGTTTTACAACTATGTTCCGTAGAAAAGAAAATGTTATTAATTTGCAATATTTCATATTAATAAGATTGAAACAAGAAATAAAAATAAATTTCTTTACATTTGTATTTTTAGTCCTACTTATAGTAAATAAGGAATATATGTACAAACTACTACCCATTACCTTTAATATGCATGATTTCATACTGATCTCTAAAAATTAAAAAATACATTTAAAAATGTAATTTATTTTAAGTTTTTAAAAATATTTTTCATATATATTTTTAATAAAAACATATTTCAACATGCAGTACATAATATATACATATATATATATACACATACATATATATATATATATATATATATAAATAAATATAAAAAATAAAAATAAAATATAATATATATATATAGAGAGAGAGAGAGAGAGAGAGAGAGAAATATATTGAATAATGGCCAAAATTGTAGTATTTCAAATATATGGCAATATATTTGGGAAGAATATTTTTTAAATATATTTTTCTTCCATGTGGGCAGGTAGGGTGGGAGCACGTTACATTACATGCGCGTACTCAGTGAATCTAATATTATCGATGAATGAAACCTTCCCGAAGATCGGGATTTAGCATCTGTCCATGTACTATCCAAGGGGATGGTAAAGAAGGGATGTTGAAAGGGAGGGAAAGGAAGAGCAAGAAGAGAATAAGAGGGAGAGAGAGAGAGAAGAAAAAAAAATAAAATGAAAAGGGAGGGGGGAAAAGGGAGGGGGGGGGAGGGGGGGAAAGGGGGGGGAGGGGGGGGGAAAGGGGGGAAAGGGGGGGGGGGGAGGGGGGGAAAGGGGGGAAAGGGAGGCAGGGGGGAAAGGGAGGCGGGGGGGAAAGGGAGGGGGAAAATGAATTAACAGAAAATTAAAAGGCGCAACAGCTCTAAGTGAAGTTGTCTTTAGTGTCTTGAACAGCTTTTTCACTTAATAAAATCATAATTTAAAAACTGCGTGTTGTATTTACTAGGGTTATCTTTGTGTAAAATTAACAATAGTTTGATGATCTGAATGAATTAAGTGTGAAAAAATAAAATAAATATATAAATAAAATCAGGAAGGGGCAAATACTTTTTCATAGCGCTGCGTCAATTTATTCATATGTTTCTAAATCTCATTTTGATCACTCTTCGTAGAGCAAGTTTTACTTCCTTATTTCTCAGGCTGTAAATAATTGGATTAAGTAAAGGGGTGAACATGGCATACACAAGTGCGAACATCTTGTCATAGTCCACAGAGTGTGTACCTTGTGGACTGGCATAGACGGTGAAAGCGGTACTATAAAATAGCATCACCACAGTAATGTGAGAGGAACAGGTGGAGAAGGCCTTGCTTCGTCCAGAGTTTGTCTTCATTTGCACAACTGAATAAATAATATTAATGTACATTACTACAATAAATGCAAAGTTAAACATAGTGGCAAAACCAATGACACAACCATTTACTGTTCTATTAATGGAAGTACTGATACAGGCCAAACTTAGCAAAGGAGCCAAATCACAGAAGTAATGATCTATATGTAATGGACCACAGAAAGGCACTCTTATGGTAAAGGTGAGTGGTATTGTTGCAGATAAGAACCCATAAGACCAACATAAAGTGCTAGATACCTACACATTCTCTCATTCATAATGGTGGTGTACCGAAGAGGGTTGCATATAGCCATAAATCTATCAAAAGACATAACCGCCAACAAGGCACACTCTGTCATACCAAGACCATGGAACATGTATAGCTGAGCAAAGCACCATTGGAAGGAGACCCTTTTGTCTTTTGTCAACAGGATGGAGAGCAGTTTGGGTACTGTAGTTGATATGTACCACATCTCCAAAAGAGAAAGGTTAGTTATAAAATAGTACATTGGTGTCTGAAGGTATACGTGAGTTTGCACTACCAAAATGATCAACATGTTACCAAATAAAGTGAGTACATAAATTAGGAGGACAGTAAAGAAGAGGCATATACTGTACTTCTCAATGTTTGCAAACCCCAGCAGTAAAAATCCACTGTAATATGTTCCATTCATTTCAATTATTTGGTTTATATTTTCCAAAGAATAGATTATTACATAGAAATAAAAGCATGCTGGGACTTCAGATAGAAGAAGATCCTTGAATGACCTGTAAAATGAGGAACACCAACAACATAATGCTCATCATATACAAGGATTAGATATCACTATACAATTAAAAATAACTGGAAGGTCTTACAAACTCCCTTTTTTATTTATTATTCTGGTGACTCTAAACTATCATGACCAAAAACAAAAACCATCAAACCACTGTTAATTGGACTGCTACAGGGGATACAATAATTTGCTGTCTGTAGTGAATCCTCCGTGGCAGTCAATTTAGTGGTGGTTTGACATTCTTTGTTTTTGATCTATTGAGATATCACCATATAGAAACAATATTTTTCCATTATTATTTGCACAAAATATATATTAAAAATGGAGAAACATGGGTTATTAAACCACTTACCAAACTATTTTGCATGGAGTGAGTATTAATCGTTCATATTTTTACAGCCACAAGCCTTACAATAGCAAAAGCCTAGGAAACCCCAATTCTAAGCTTTTAAGCAGTTATAACACGTTAAATGACATCATAATCAATTAAAAACTCACAGCTCTCTTTACTGACACCATGTCAACTTTCTTCCTATATGGCAACCTGGATCTAATATTCCCAGCCTAGGTGGTGGTCTCTGTGGTGGAATGTTCATGATTATAGAAACGTGGAGATTGATGAGTGGCTCTCATTGATATTTTATCTTCAATGAGCAGTTATTTTTTTTTATTTTTTTTTTTTTTTGAGCACCCTGTATGTCTGTAGACAACGTGGAGCAGCGGGTCTGGAGTGGAGCTGTTGGTTTGAGAATATGCCGTATATCACTGACAGATAACCTTTAGGATAGATGTACGTTGGTGCATTTGGTCATGCAGCATAAAGACACTGCCTATTTCTGGTATCTGGTGACCCTTTATAGGAAGCTGTACACAGCTCTTGGACATCCCAGACACCAGAAATATGTAATGTCTTTAAATGACCAAATGTGCCCATGTGAATGTAACCTTACATAGATAACTGAAATTGAGTGTTTTCAAAAGTGTATTACACATTCTCACTGTGGGTTATAAAAAGAAGGCTTCAGCCTTTCAGTCGAGGTTAGGATGAACGCATAGAAGAAAGCACTTCTCATCCACAGATGATATCTTTCCTGTTTAATATAAACCTATTGGAGAATATGCCCTTTATAATAATAAAAAAGGCTTAGTTTCATCATACCAGCAACCAATTTTGCAGTTGTCTCCAATAATGGAAACCTAAAAATACATATACAGTGAAGGAAATAAGTGTTTGATCCCCTATCATTCAGCAGGATTTCTGGCTACCAGGCGTCTTTTATACAGGTAACAAAATGAGATTAGCAGCATTCCCTTTAAGAGACGGCTTCTAATCTCAGCTTGTTCCCTGTATGAAAGACACCTGCTAGCCAGAAATCCTGCTCAGTGATAGGGGATCAAATACTTATTTCCCTCATGAACATGCAAATCAGTGCATCATTTGTTAGACATGCATTTCTTTTGAATTTTTTGTTGCTATTCTGTCTCTCAGTGTTACAATACACCTACCATTCGATTTTAGACTGGTAATTTCTTTGTGAGTGGGCAAACATTCAAAATCAGCAGGGGATCAAATATTTATTTCCTTTACTGTATTAGAAAGAGGTGAAAAATGAAAATTGCCATCAGTCAGCAAGGACAGGAGGCCCGCCAACAAACTTATACTAAATTAAAGTGTGACTATGGCCAAAATTAAAAATGACATATATGATAAATTCTGTCATTAGTTTTAACACAGTAGTCTTTGTTTTTCTGAGTCCACCCTGTAACATAATGTATTATCCACTTGACCTCTGGAAGATTTACACTGCATTATTTTAGCTGACAATTGCGCAGCCATATAGCGCTGTACATAAATAAAATGTATGTAATTTTTTTTCAGTCACAAATAGAGCTTTCTTTTGGGGGTATTTGATCACCACTGGTTTTTTTGCACTATATAAAAAAAAAAAAAAACACAGGAAAATTTTGAAAAAAAAAAACCTCTAATATTTTTGATTTTCTGCTATAGGGCAGCACAGTGGCTAAATGGTTAGCACTCCCACCTGGCAGTACTAGGGTTATTGGTTCGAATCCCAACCATGTCACCATCTGCCTGGAGTTTGCATGTTCTCCCTGTGCCTGCATGGGTTTCCTCCCACACTCCAAAGACATGCTGGTAGGTTATCTGGATCCTGTCTAAATTGTCCCTAGTATGTGTATGTATGAATGTGAGTTAGGGACCTTAGATTGTACAACCCTTGAGGGTTAGGGACTGATGTGAATGTACAATATATATGTAAAGTGCTGCGTAAATTGATGGTGCTATATAAGTACCTGAAATAAATAATAGTAAATAAAATATATCCAATAAAAAATTTAAAAAAGCTAATTTCTTCATAAATTTAGGCCAATGTGCATTCTGCTACATATTTTTGGTGAAAAAAATCCCTAAAAGCGTATATTCATTGGATTGCGCAAAAAGTTATAGTGTCGACAAACTAGGGTAAATACTGGAATTTTTTTTTTTATTTTTATACTAGTAATGGTGGCAATCAGCGGCTTATAATGGGACTGCAATATTGTTGCAGACAGACAATCTGACACTGACACTTTGTGGGAACCAGTGACACTAATACAGTGATATGTGCTAAACATATACATTGTCACCCTAATAATGACACTGACTGGGAATGGGGTTAAACATCTAGGGTGATCAAGGGGTCAACTGTGTGCCTAGCTATGTGTAAAAGGGCAGTACAGTGGCTAAGTGGTTAGCACTTCTGCCTGGCAGTACTAGAGTCATCTGTCTGAATCCCAACTATAGCACTACCTGCCTGGAGCTTGCATGCTCTCCCTGTGCCTGTATGGGTTTCCTCTGGTTACTCCGGTTTCCTTCCACAGTCCAAAGACATACTGGTAGGTTAATTGGATCCTGTCAAAATTGGCCCTAGTATATGTATGTAAGGTAGGGACTTTAGATTGTATGCTTTGAGGGTTAGGGACTGATGTGAATGTACAATATATATGTTAAGCGCTGCGTAAATTGACGGCGCTATATAAGTACCTGTAATAATAAGTAAATGTGTAATGGATACTGTATGTGATGCTTTCACTAGGTAATTGCTGGATTTTCTTTCCCTCCAAAAGCAGGGAGTAGAATCCAGCACTATTGCCACTGATAGGCATAGTTGTGTTCTCTCTGTCTGTCTGCCAGACGATCGGTGGGTGCCGGCGGTGATCTAATGGCCGACACCCACTGATCAGCTTCTGCTGTGATTTGTCACAGCGGGTAGCAGTGCGCCGGCTACCAGGAAGTTCAGCATTACATGTATACAGTACTTGATTTTGTACAGTGCGGCCGCCCTGTAGCAGTACATCTGCTATGGGGCAGTTGGCAAGTGGTTATCTGGTGATCCTGCCAGTGTGCATGTTGTCTTTCAACTTCCTTTAACAGCCAAAGCTGTCCAGCAAAGATGGCAGATAAAGGGTTGAGATAAACCATTTAACACGGACAAAGTGCTTACATGGTCAACTCCTATTTACTTTGTAAAATATTTATCCCAAAAGAAAAAAAAAAAAACTATTGCTGTAACTGTTTTAAAAGTGTTAGCTGAAGGTGGCCTTTACTTTGTAAGCCACTAATGTAAAGTCCATCTAAATCTGCATATTCTCTATTTTTATACTAAAAAGAATATTTTAATTGCATGGAAATCTCTTCCACCAACCCCTTTTAGAATGGAAACAACTGATTAATGCTGCCCTTCTATTGTATCAACTCACTTGTACAATGTACTGTAAGGATACACCAAAGGGTATTGAATAAATATGGGGCCTTTGGACCAACTCTGCTTTTCTTACTTGACCCAGCTGAGTTTACTGTAGACCACAATCTCCATTCGTCCACTATATTCCAATAGCTCCGACTGTGTACTTTGTAACTAAGTATATCATGTAATGATTGTATGACATGTACAGTATCTTGCATGCAGAACTCAGACAATTTTTAATGGTTAAAAAAGGTGTTTATTATAAGTTTATTTTTGACAACAATAAGTATTAAAAAAAAAAGAAAGGTCATTCAAATCTACTAGCCCATCCAACACTGAGCATGCCTAGGTTGATCCTCCATAAATGAAGTGGAAGAGTGGATGTAGCCACTCTAACCCTAGGTTCACACCTATGCGGCCGTGCGGGCCGCGTTTTGCACAAGCACGAGAGCCCATTCATTTGAATGGATTCCCGTGCCCGTGACATGCAGGAAAAGAAGTCCCTGCAGTACTTTGGAAAACGCAGCCCGCATGGGAACCTTGGTTCCCAGTACAGATGCGTTTCCCAGTGCGGGAACTAATGGCACCCACCGTTGGTCCGCAATTCTCTGTGCGGGTGGTGCGGCTGTACGGATTTTCATGTGGATCCACAGCGGCACCATCTGCATAGATGTGAACCGGGGGTTAGACAGAATTGGCTGATCACTAGACAAAAATAAAAGGAATGAAAACCTGAAAAAAATTAAAAAGGAGAAGTACAGCCAAAGCTTTTTTGGCTGTATTTCTGTGGATCACAGGAATATAGTTTGTTCTGCACTCCTGTGACCCATTTTCAGCTGACAATGGACTGAAGTCTGATGTCACCATGCCGGTCCAAGCGGGGAAAGATCCTGACTTCAAAGTCGAGATCCACCCCAGAGTCTTGAGCGACACCTGGCTCAGCCTCTCAACAAAGCATTGAGAGCCTGAGCCGGCGGCTCCCTCCCCCTCCACAGCCCAGAGCTCCAGTGAGTGCTGGGTGGGCAGAGCAGACAGGGGTGAGTGAGAATCCCGCTCTGTGCTCAAAGCGGAGAGGAGAATTCAGATATCTGCGGTCATATGATCACCAAGTTGTCACCCTTGGGGCTGGTTCGCGCTATAGAAACGCAGTCC